CGAAATCCATCGAAGACGGCATCGCCCCGAAATCTATCGGAGGCGGCAACGTCCCGAAATCCATCGGTAACGGCCATAGTAACTCATGTGATCATGCAACAAGCAACACACATTTCCAGTTCTTATCTTGATTTTATTAGCCCATGCAAACATACGGTGCTCGTGTAACTCATGCTCTCTAGGACAACTTGCCTAACATGTGAGGCGTGGTCGAGGGCACGTGACTCGATCCATCATGCTGAATGTTGGCTCGGAGCCGGACTTGGCCCGATTCTACACGCCTCAATGTGAAATCCGCACCAAGTCGAGCTCGTCCCGGAACACCACAACATGAGTACGAGACATACGACACCCCGTTTCGTGCCTCGGTTGTGCCATGACTCACGGCCACATACGAAATAACCAAACACGTGCATACGCCAAGCATCACAAACATAAGCACTCCTCGAGCCCAAACGCGCAACACTATGTCCTAACCAAAGTATAGGGAATTCACTTACTACTCGGGAGCTCTAGGGTATTTAGTGACGATGCGGTGGTGAGAATGAGTGACCGGAGAAGAAATGGCCGAGAATGAGAGAGATGGAGGCCGAGAAAGAGAGAAGCCGAGAGAGTAGGGAGAGAGAGACTTGTTCGGTTTTTGGGGAAAATGAGCATGGCATGGTGTCTCTCTATTTATAGGCCAAGATCTCAATTATTGCCATGCCAAGTGGTCCAATGAAATGCATTCAAGTGGCACCTAATTATTAGAGGCAATCTTGGAAAATTCTAGAGAATCTTGACCAAATCCTAGACTTCATTATTTGATGGCCTAATTGAAGTCCAAGTGTCCATCTAGGTTAATAATGCCCTATCTTAGACCATATGAATCACCAAATGCATTAATTATCTAGGGGACACATAAGCCTATCTAGGGGACACTTAAGCCTCTCTTCAATAATGACCCTTGTCTTGACTTCCATGATTGCCCTATCTCTAGAGATTGCAAGATCTCATGCATTAATGGAGAAGATCCTATGCATTAATGAAGATCTTATCTTATAAGATTCTTCTCATGATGACCCTCCAATTATTGGTTTCAACTTTGACTTGGTTAACTTTGGCTTCTTGCTCTCTAAGCTTGGCCAAAATTTGTTGATTTGTCCCAAAGATCAAGTGGCTAATGGCACTTAAGCATATGCTCCAAAATCACTAAGTATACTTAGCAAATTACCTAAGTAAACGGGGAAATTCCGGGTTTCAAATAATCGATCATCCTATCCGGGTCGAAGTTCGGTGTAAAAAAAATTCCTCCAAATATGATCAAACACATCCAAGACAAAGTCCAAGTCCAATGATATAAGTTCGGGCCGATCGGGTTACCCAGGCGCATAGCCTGTACAATCGGGCCTGACCGGGCGCACGGCTGGGCACGCTACCGGACCACACTGGCACATGGCCGGGCGCGAGACCGGGCCGCACGGGCAACATGCCGAGCGGCTTGCCTGACCACATGGGCGGCGTGCCTAGTGCCTTGCCGGCCGTATGGGCAACGCGCCGAGCACCACGCCGGGTCACACGAGCGAGGGGTCGGTTCACGGCCAAACACATGCAACAGCCCGTGAATGGCACGTTGCACGACTCATGGCCATATTTTTTGGGCACGGGACGAGACCGGAACCGAATCTTATGGGCACAATACATGGCACAAGGGTCGAGCATAATGGCCGGCGCACGACCGGGCACGTAGCCGGTCCATGGCCTGGCTGACGGGCCCGATGGCCGGTCATGATCGAGCACATGGCCTTGGCCGGCGCGGCTGGCAATTTTGCCCGGGCCACGACCAAGCCACTAGGCACACGGCCTGGCACATATCTCGTCCATGGCCTTCCCGACTCAACGCAACAATCCGTGGCCGATTCGTGACCGAGCCACGTTGGAGTATCAACGACCCATGGTCGATCCTCGGTTGTCATATAGCCTCGTGGAATCCAGTACCTCGGAATTAACTCATGGTCACCCGAGACTAATACATGGCCGTGCGGTATCACCCGCAACCGATACATGCTGACATCGGACTGATCCACAGTTATCCCGGACCGTTCCACTAACGGCCCTTATAGTCGAAGGGTAATTCCACAGTCATATTACTCTAATCATTTGCGTAGTCAGGGGGTCATTCCATTGTCGATCCCTAAACCAATTCATGGACAATCTTTCTATCGAACCACGACCAACCCTCAGTACTCTCGTTCCGATCATACTGTCTATTCCATTACCGACCCTCGACGCGACTTATCCTCTCATCCATTATTACTAGTCCTCGGCTTCCTAGGCCCGAAATCGGGGATGTCAAATTCCTCCCCCTCTAATAAAATTTCATCCTCGAAATTTAAACACGTACCTGGTTCCTCGAACAAATGCGGATACTGCCGCTTCATGATTTCCTCATCTTCCCAGGTAGCTTTTTCAACACCATGATGACACCATAGGACCTTTACTAAGGGAATGGTCTTATTTCTTAACACTTGCTCTTTACGATCCACGATCCGCACCGGCTCCTCAACATAGGACACTCTACTGTCTAATTCAACCTCGTCGAAATTCAGTACATGTGCCGGATCGGGTTCATACTTTCTCGACACGAATACATGGAACACTTCATGCACTTGAGCAAGTTTCAGTGGCAGCGCCAACCGATAAGCCAAATTCCCTATTCTTTCTAGAATTTCAAAAGGTCCTACATACCTGGGGCTTAGCTTACCTTTCTTCCCAAAACGCGATACACCCCTCATGGGTGACACTTTGAGAAACACTTGGTCGCCTACTTGAAACTCTAGAGGCTTCCTACGTCTGTCGGCATAACTTTTTTGTCGGCTTTGGGCGGTTCTCAACTTATCTCTAACTACTTGCACAACCTCATTGGTGAGTTGGACTAGCTATGGACCCGTGACCTTCTTTTCCCCAACCTCATCCCAATAGACTGGAGTTCTACAAGCTTGACCGTATAATACCTCGAATGGTGCCATTCTGATACTTTGTTGGTAACTGTTGTTGTATGCAAATTCTATGAGATGTAAATGTTCATCCCAACTCCCTTTGAAATCAACGACGCATGCTCGCAACATATCCTCAAGAGTCTGGATAGTTCTTTCTGTTTGACCATCCGTTTGTGGATGATAAGCTGTACTGTATTGCAACTTCATTCCCATAGCGGTTTGAAGACTCTGCCAGAAAGTTACCGTAAATTTAGGATCTCGATCAGAAGTGATCGTTACTAGGACTCCGTGTAGTCGCACAATATTGCGAACGTATAACTCGGCATAACCTTCCAATGAGAAGTCCTTCCTGACCGGAAGAAAATGGGCTGATTTTGTTAGTCGATCAACAATCACCCATATTGAATCATTTCCTCGCTGACTTCTCGGTAATCCCATTACAAAATCCATGGTAATGTATTCTCATTTCCACTCTGGAATTTCTAACTGTTGCAATAATCCTCCATGCTTGCAATGTTGAACCTTAATTTGCTGACACGTCAAGCATTTATCCACATGTTTGGCTATATCCGTCTTCATGCCATTCCACTAGAAATGTTGTCGCAAATTCTGGTACATTTTGGTACTGCCTGGATGAATACTGTAATTGCTCTTGTGGGCTTCCGTCAAGATTTCGTCCTTGAGCTATTCATCCTTTGGCACACATAGACGTCCATTAAACTTCAAGATTCCGTCATCAATTAGATGAAAATTGGATTTCTTCTTTTCTGCTACCTCCTTCCGGACTTTCTGAATCTCTGGGTCTGTTTGTTGTAACGCTTTGATTTTCAATATGATGTCCGGCTCGATTCTGAGGGCAGCTAGTAAATTCAAATGATGTCCAACTTCCAACTTGAAGTCCAAGTCCCGAGCTTCCTCAAGTAAGGTCCATTCTTTGATCATCAAATGGGCGAGAGCTAATTTTCGACTAAGAACATCGGCAACTTTGTTTGCTTTGCCAGGATGGTACAATATCTCGCAGTCGTAGTCTTTGAGAAGTTCCATCCAACGTCGTTGCCTCATATTCAGCTCCTTCTGGGAAAATAAATATTTCAAACTCTGATGATCCGTATTAATGACAAATTGCTCCCCATATAAGTAGTGTTGCCAAATTTTTAAGGCAAACACGATTGCAGCAAGCTCCAAATCATGGGTTGGATAATTCAATTCGTATGGCCTCAATTGTCTCGAGGCATAAGCCACCACTTTGCCATCCTGCATCAATACATAGCCTAGCCCTTTGTGAGAGGCGTCACTGTATATTTCAAATCCTCCTGGTCCTTTAGGTCGAGTCAGAACAGGAGCCATCGTCAGTCTTCGTTTCAATTCTTGGAAGCTTCGCTCACATTTGTCAGTCCGTTCGAACTTCGTTTCCTTCTTTAGCAATCGCGTTAAGGGAATAGCGATGCTAGAGAATCGTTCCACAAACCTTCTGTAATATCCTGCCAAACCCAAGAAACTTCAGACTTCTGTAACAGTTGTTGGTCTTAGCCAATTAATTACCGCTTCTATTTTGGATGGATCCACTGATATGCCGTCTCCCGAGATCACGTGGCCGAGAAACACTACGTGAGATAGCCAGAACTCGCACTTGCTGAATTTTGCATAAAGTGCGTGTTCCCTGAGCGTCTGAAACACGAATCTCAAATGTTGCTCATGTTAGCCGAATTCTTCGAGTATACCAGGATGTCGTCAATAAAGAATATGACGAAACGGTCCAAGTATGGCTTGAACACTCGATTCATCAGGTCCATAAAGGCTGCTGGAGCATTTGTCAAACTGAATGGCATAACGGTGAATTCATAATGGCCATATCGAGTTTGGAACGCCGTCTTCGGAATATCTTCCTTCTTGATTCTTAGCTGATGATATCCCCGACCTTAGATCGATCTTGGAAAACACGGATGCTCCTTGGAGTTAATCAAATAAATCATCAATTCTCGGCAGTGGGTACTTATTTTTTATAGTAACCCGATTTAACTGTCAATAGTCGATACAAAGCTCCAATGATCTGTCTTTCTTCTTTACGAACAATATTGGTGCACCCCATGGTGATGCACTTGGATGAATAAACCCATTATCAAGTAACTCTTGAAGTTGTACTTTCAACTCCTTCAATTCAGTCAAAGCCATCCTATAAGGAGCTTTGGAAATAGGCTCCGTCCCAGGGGCTACTTCAATAGCAAATTCTATTTCCCGTTCTAGAGGTAACCCTGGTAATTCGTTTGGAAAGACATCGGAAAATTCATTTACTACCAGAATGTCTTCTAACTTTGGCCCTTCCTCTCTTGACTTATTTTCTACTGTTGCTAGGTACCCTTGACAGCCTTTCTCTAAGAGCCGGAATGCTTCTAATGCCGAGATTAGAGGAGTGGAAGACCCTCCTCCATTTCCCATAAATGTAGAACATGGACGATTAGGCGAATTAAACTGAATCACCTTGCTATAGCAATCTATATTGGCCCGTTGTTTACTAAGCCAATCCATGCCTATGATAATATCAAAATCATACATGGCAAGTACAGCTAGGTCTATGGTTCCTTCCAATCCACCTATAATGAGTTTACACCCTTGGCATTCTAGAGTGGTCTGGAGTTCGTCTTTCATTGGGGTGGAAACATTAAGGACATTTTCTAAAGGTTCGGTTTCTAATTTTGCCAATCGTACAAATTGCTTGGATACAAATGAATAGGTAGCTCCCGTATTAAATAATGCATATGCAGTACGGTTGTCGAGAGAGACCGTACCTGTGATAATCGTGTCGGAGTTCTCTGCATCTTCTTGGGTAAGTGCATATACTCGTCCTTGGGCTGAGGGACGATCGCCGGTATTATTCCGAGATTGAACTCCATTTGATAATCTCGCTGGCCCTTGCTGTGGCTGTATTCCTTGTCGCTTGTATGGACAGTCTCTTACCATGTGGCCTTGCTGACCACACCCGAAGCATGCTCCCGTGCGAATTGGGCACGGAGCGTCACCATGTCGTCTTCCACAAATAGAACAAGCATTTCCAAAATTTACCTTCAGGAAATTCTGCTTCTTATTGGGAATGAAAGGACGTTTTCCCCTTGGCATTGGTATTTTGCCTTGACGCTGATTCATCCGAAGGTTAGAATAGTAGGGCCTCGCTAGAGTCGCCCTTTCTAGCAAATCCTTCTCGATCAGTTGGGCTCGTTCATATATCTCATTGTAATTCTTCAGATTTAATGGTACCAACTGACTTCGGATGTCAGGTTTGAGACCATCACGGAATCGTTTTGCCTTGTGCACTGGATCTTCAATAAGTCTAGGGGCATACCTCGATAATTGGGCGAACTTCGCCTCATATTGGTCCACTGTGAGATTGTTCTGCCGAAGTTGTAGAAATTCCTGCATCTTTTTGTCACGTGCGCACTCGGAGAAGTATTTTCCATTGAACGTTTCAACAAAGGCATTCCACGTCACAGCAGTGTTTTCCGAGAACACCGTTTCCTTCATTGCCTTCCACCAATGGCTAGCGTTACCTTGTAACTGAAATAGCGCCAAGTTCACTTTTTCCTCCTCAGAGCATCTCAAGAGTTCGAATATCTTTTGCAGTTCATCAATCCATGACTCCGCCTCTTCAGGATCTCCAGTTCCGCTGAACTTCGGGGGTCGGAGTTTCAAGAATTGTTCAACTAATCCATTCATCCCACGATCACCGTTTCCATTCCCATTTCCTACCACATTTTCAGCATTAGGCAGTCGTTGTTGAACCTGCTGTCCCATCAAGTCTCCAATAGTCGTGAGAGCTTGCAGAATTCCGTCTATTCGGGGGTCCTGCTTCGATTTCCCCTTCGAGGTCGTGGCCAGGTCCTGAGCACTCATGCTGATGTTCTCGGGATTCTAAGAAAGCTGGTCTACAAGGAACAAACAAAAGTTAGTAGCCTCAATCTAGAATCAATCGAACAATCGGACAAACACATGCGCTACATTCTTTCCTAGCTTCCTATCCCAAGATTCCCAACGCACCTTATCACTCCAAGTAACAATCCCCATTTTCATATCAGAACCGTTCTCCCCCATTCAGTGCCGAGTTCGGTTTGTTCCTCTCTTACCTATCATCCTAGAAGCCTGCCAGGAGCCGCTCAATGATGAGGCCTTATCACCCCGGCGCCACTTTTATTTAGAAGCCACACAATGATCAGGTATATATATATATACCCCTGTGCCACTTTTGCCCAGAGGCCACTCAATGATCAGGCTACCTGGCCCGGCACCACCTCTGTTAAAAGCCGCTCCTTGTTCAGGTTTTATGGCCTCGGTGCCGCTCCCCGCCCTCTTCAGATTGGGTTATTTTAGGAGTCCACAGCCTTCACTCGGCTCAACGTCGAACTACAACTTACTGGAGGGGAACCTGCTCTGATAACAAAACAACTGACTCACCTTACATGTCACGCCCCGAGACAAAGCCGTGGCATTTGATCCCGGCTTGAACGTGATTCATATAGGTTCCGGGGATATATCTCAACGTCCCATTATTGTTTTCTTCATTAAGCACAAGCGGAAGCAATCAACAAACAATAACGAGAACATAAGTGAGCTAAGCAACATATTATACAAACACACTATATTTACATGATAGTGGATTATTTATCTTACAAGCTCTTCTTACTCGGGCCTCGCTTACTATGCATACATCCGGATCTCGTCCGGTATCCGCTCACATATTCCGTATGGTCGAGTTACGCCTAGCTTCACTAACGTCCCTTCACAAAAACAAAAAGGTTAGTCGCCTTCCAAAGCTTAGTCATCTCCCTACGGTTCCTCCACTCCGGCCCCGGGTGGTCCATTATACCCCTCAATGGGTCCGACCACATCTCCGTCCATTAAAACGAACCATGCAACGTAAAGGTGGGGGACCATGTCGTTTGCATTCACTTGGACCCAAACAGTCGTGCTATACTTTCGATAGGTGACATCGGCTTCTACATCAATAATATCTACCACTAGAATATGCATTTCTACAGGTCGATCAAAACGAACGGGAGGTGGTGTGGCCATACCTACAAAGCTGAAAATAATAAAAGTGAGTGGACACTCAATAAGTTAAATTCACTATGCTCCGGCTAGGAAATAGCCTCGCATAGGACAAGAGAAATACACATTATCATTGGCTTGTCGATGGTAGATCAATCGCAATGCATCTTACCTTGCCTTTGTATTAAACATGGCATGTTCAACAAATGAGAAAACATCAAGTAAGGATTTTCAACGTTGCATGCAAAAGATCAACACACGGGATTCATCATTTCATGATCGAAATCCATCGATCCTTTCGGCTTACCACCTAGCATCCGAGTACTCCCTCGGGCATCGCCTCGAAATCCATCGAATAGCGGCATCGTCCTGAAATCCATCGAAGACGGCATCGCCCCAAAATCTATCGGCGGCGGCAACGTCCCGAAATCCATCGGTGACAGCCATAGTCCCTCGTGTGATCATGCAACAAGCAACACACATTTCCGATTCTTATCTTGATTTTATTAGCCCATGCAAACATACGGTGCTCGTGTAACTTGTGCTCTCTAGGACAACTTGCCTAACATGTGAGGCACGGTCGAGGGCACGTGACTCGATCCATCATGCTGAATGTCGGCTCGGAGCCAGACTTGGCCCGATTCTACACGCCTCAATGTAAAATCCGCACCAAGTCGAGCTCATCCCAGAACACCACAACATGAGTACGAAACATACGACACCCCGTTTCGTGCCTCGGTTGTGCCATGACTCACGGCCACATACGAAATAACCAAACACGTGCAGACGCCAAGCATCACAAACATAAGCACTCCTCGAGCCCAAACGTGCAACACTACACCTTAACCAAAGTATAGGGAATTCACTTACTACTCGGGGGCTCTAAGGTATTTAGTGACGATGCGGTGGTGAGAATGAGTGACCGGAGAAGAAATGGCCGAGAATGAGAGAGATGGAGGCCGAGAAAGAGAGAAGCCGAGAGAGTAGGGAGAGAGAGACTTGTTCGGTTTTTGGGGAAAATGAGCATGGCATGGTGTCTCTCTATTTATAGGCCAAGATTTCAATTATTGCCATGCCAAGTGGTCCAATGAAATGCATTCAAGTGGCACCTAATTATTAGAGGCAATCTTGGAAAATTCTAGAGAATCTTGACCAAATCCTAGACTTCATTATTTGATGGCCTAATTGAAGTCCAAGTGTCCATCTAGGTTAATAATGCCCTATCTTAGACCATATGAATCACCGAATGCATTAATTATCTAGGGGACACATAAGCCTATCTAGGGGACACTTAAGCCTTTCTTCAATAATGACCCTTGTCTTGACTCCCATTATTGCCCTATCTCTAGAGATTGCAAGATCTCATGCATTAATGGAGAAGATCCTATGCATTAATGAAGATCTTATCTTATAAGATTCTTCTCATGATGACCCTCCAATTATTGGTTCCAACTTTGACTTGGTCAACTTTGGCTTCTTGCTCCCTAAGCTTGGCCAAAATTTGCTGATTTGTCCCAAAGATCAAGTGGCTAATGACACTTAAGCATATGCTCCAAAATCACTAAGTATACTTAGCAAATTACCTAAGTAAACGGGGAAATTCCGGGTTTCAAATAATCGATCATCCTATCAGGGTCGAGGTTCGGTGTAAAAAACATTCCTCCAAATATGATCAAACACATCCAAGACAATGTCCAAGTCCAATGGTATAAGTTCGGGCCGGTTGGGTTGCCCAGGCGCATGGCCTGTACAATCGGACCTGACCGGGCGCACGGCTGGGCACGTTACCGGGCCACACGGGCACATGGCCGGGCGCGAGACTGGCCGCACGAGCGCCGCGCCGGGCCGCAAGGGCAACGTGTCGAGTGGCTTGCCTGGCCGCACGGGCGGCTTACCTAGTGCCTTGCCGGCTGTATGGGCAACGCACCGAGCACCACGCCGGGTCACACGAGCAAAGGGTCGGTTCACGGCCAAACACGTGCAACGGCCCGTGAATGGCACGTTGCACGACTCATGGCCATATTTCTTGGGCACGGGACGAGACCGGAATCGGATCTTATGGGCACAATACGTGGCACAAGGGTCGAGCTCAATGGCCGGCACACGACCGGGCATGTAGCCGGTCCGTGGCCTGGCTGACGGGCACAATGGCCGGTCATGACCGAGCACATGGCCTTGGCTGGCGCGACTGACAATTTTGCCCAGGCCGTGACCAAGCCACTAGGCACACGGCCTGGCACATGTCTCGTCCATGGCCTTCCCGACTCAACGTAACAATCCGTGGCTGATTCGTGACCGATCCACGTTCGAGTATCAACGACCCATGGTCGACCCTCGTTTGTCATGTAGCCTCGTGGAATCCAGTACCCCGGAATTAACTCATGGTCACTCGGGACTAATGCATGGCCGTGCGGTATCACCCACGACCGACACATGCCGACACCGGACTGATCCACAGTTATCCCGGATCGTTCCACTAACGGCCTTTATGGTCGAAGGGTAATTCCACAGTCATATTATTCTAATCATTTGCGTAGTCAGGGGGTCATTTTACTGTCGATCCCTAGGCCAATTCTTGGACAATCTTTCGATCGAACCACGACTAACCCTCAGTACTCTCATTCCGATTATACTGTCCATTCCATTATCGACCCTCGACGCGACTTACCCTCTCATCCATTATTACTAGTCCTCGGCTTCCTAGGCCCGAAATCGGGGGTGTCACAGTCAGTCCTGTCGAGCCTCCGGTCACCGCTCTTCAACCCGGTCGTTCACGAAACAGGTAAGTCACGGTCGTACATTTTGCTCTGTTGTCACCCCCACTTTCCTTGCCTCTCGGGTGTCGGGCATACTGAGCCTGTTCGGTGGTCGCCCGGCCCCCGTCGATGGATGCTCGTGCTCGTTTGACACTCAAAGAAGCTGTTTTAAATGTTTCACACCGAGGGTAGGCCCTGAGCTTTGCTAAACTCAAGCTTGTTACTACATTTTTCAAACGCCCCTCACATGTTCGACGAAATGCCAAAATGGGGGTCCAAATGATTTTTTGTGGAACCAGCGACTTGAACTCGGATTTTATGTTTGTTTAGTACTCATATTCATCGAATCAGCACTAACTTTTGCGTTTTTCGTGCATTCACGTCACGGTTCGCGTATTGTCCAAGTCGGCCTCCCATATGCATCCCTTCGCCGGAGACATTCCCCCCGCACAGAGGAAGCCCGCGGTTTGAGGCCGCCTTAGTCAGTTCATTCCTCCTCGTTTTGATGTATGTTTGCTCATTTATTTACTGGTTGATGGTATGGGTTCGGGAGGAAAAGTCTCTGGGGCCGAGCAGGTTAGTCGGAGAGTAATTGTGGTCGCCGGCGGGGAGGGGGTGTGTTTCTGTCGTCATCGGGGCGGTCCCCGGAACATCGGCCGGCGGCGACGGCGTAGGGCCAGCGCCGGTCATCGGCGCTGGTGGCCCAAGCCGACTGCCGGCGGTAGGTGTCCTCGGCGAAACCCCGGCATGGCCTCAGCAAAGACGTTCTCGATGAAGAAGGCCATTGAAGAAGAGAAGAATTCTAGTAAGAGTTCACGAAAGGGGATGAAGAAGAGAAATGAAAAAAATAGAAAAAGAAACAAAAAAAAGGGAAAAGAGAGAAAAAAGAAAAGAGAAAGAAAAATAGAATAAAAAAATCAAAATTTGAAAACTCGGGCGGGTCGGTAACTCGGGTCAGATAGCCGGGGCGGATCGGGTCGGGGGATCCAGTCCGAAATCTTTATTTTGTCAATAAAAACATTCAAAAATTCAAAATAATATTAAAAAATATTAAAAATTCCAAAATATTCGAAAATGTTTGAAAAATCCAAA